TTACACCCAAAACCTTGTAACTGAGAAATATTTGGCCCCATTTGCAGCACATATTTTTGTCATTCAATTAAAAAAGAGAGGCTTACCTCATAATATTTGGAATAAACTTAAGAGAGGAGCATGCTTATTATTTGGTATTGTTTTGTGTAAATTTTTTATAGCAAAATTTGTTTTAAAAATAGAAGCAGTATAAAATTATGTAGTAGAGGTTGTAAATTTAAGGGTCCCATAGTCTTAATCATGATAACAAGGTTCAAGAGTTGATAATACCAGCAACATATCCATGACTACTAATGCAATAGAGTTATCATAAGTACCAATTTCGGAGTTCTGTTGCCTTTTGGATTGTTGGATTGATTAGCACACTGCTTACAGGAATAGTTGATATTCCAAAATTTCCTAATTAAAGAAGTTGAAATTATTTAAAATAGTTTCAGTCCATAAAGTGTGAATAATATAAATACAGGCTAAAGTGTGAATACTATAATACAAGCAATTGTTGGTGTATATACCTTTGTAAATTGAGACTCTAACATCACAAAAGCCAAGGATTGGTTTATCGTATTTCATCTTTTCAAGAAGTTCACCATCATTTTCAGCAAAATCTCCCCATAAAGTGATAGATGTAAGATCATACCTGTGTTTTAAATTACAAATTAGATTAGTTGTATTACCTAACCTATATAATACGTAAAAAATTTGGTTTTCATTGAAACATGCGTAAGTATAACTGACCTTTCATTTGTAACTATTATCTCTCTTCTCCTGCTACGGCCTTCTTCAATAAGTGATTTCACTGTAACTAAAATGACAACTACATCTGAAAAGTAGGTCATTAGAGAAGTAGTTATAAGTATATAGGATTTATGCATGAAAATGATTTGTTTATTCCTATAAACAGTTACAAGATAGTGCCTTCAGTTAACTTTTCCGCCTTTTCCAAGAACAAAAAACCATTTGAGAATTCTTGGGTGGAAATGTTTGTTTTAGATTCCTTGATGATAGTGTTGTCAGTAAAAGCTATTTCAACTTCTTTGTGAACCGAGGAGTAGTTTGGATTGACACGATCTAGGCGACCATTGATAATGAAGTAACTCCTGCTTAGTTCAAAGAAGTCTTTCCGTTTCTCTACATGCTTATTAAAAAGTGTTGCTTGGATCTTTGTCCCCTATAAAGATACAACAAACATTTTATGCTATCAAGAAAGACAATATAAATTAGTAAAGTATACATTATAAATGTAAAAAGTATTACCTCTTCATCAACTAATATAAGAGTTTTGAAAACACCTTCGTTCCTTTGGTTTTTGTATGGAATTACTTTACTCCTTCGAACAACAAAGACTTTTATAACCCAGTCGGAGGAGTATTTTGGTACCTTGCTAATAGGTAAGCATTGTTTCGATAATTCTACTTCAGTCGCCATTTGAACTTAGCCTGTAATGGTTAGATGGATACATGGACGAAGGTAAAATAATATAATTGTAACGATCTTGATGTTTCCATTATGATTTATTGTATCATTTCCAATAGACAATAGATTATAGCATTCGTAATGGCAGACAAATAGTGCTGGCAGTAGCGTTTGTTAATGCAGTGTAAAGATTGGAATAACTTTAATAACTACAAACTTAAGTATTAATTAGTTTTTAAAATTAAAGAAGTAAAGTATTACCACTAATTGTTTGAGCGAGTAGTCTTGGGAACCTGTTAGAAGAGTAGTAAAGTAATTAGTTTTGTAGCGACTAATTAACTTTATGTTTAGGAAAATATCTACTCAAAGTAGAATAGCGTGAGTCTACAATATATGTTCCTAAATCTTGTTCTTAGGAAAATATTAATAGCACGAGCATTCATAAAATGTTTGGTTGAAAGTGAATTATAACATAAAGTGTGAGAAATCCATGAGTGTACAGGAAGTCCATTAGCTTCCCCAGTTTATTATTTGGCTAATGCAGAAGCTATGCGCATGAAGGAACCATTAAGGACCACACATGGTCTTTGAATATGTATCATAATTAAGGTGTAGAACTATCATGAATAATTATCATATTACTATATTATTGCCAACTATGAAAGAAAATCTAAGACAACATGGAAACTGAAGCATAGAAAAATTCAAAACGGTTCTTTAGTTATCTATGGATATCAGGATAATGGGTAGTAAGAACTTAATATACCTTGACATTTGCTGTGAAGCAGGTACATTAGAAAATTTAAATATCAGAAGCGTAGTTTAATGGGTGTGTAATAGTTTCCAGTATAAATAACATAACTCAAATCGATGATGTAGTATATATAATTTTGCTGTTAAGTTCATTATAAGGGAAATAACTGCAAGCAATTGGATGATGAAGCAAATCAACGCTTAAAAATTACTATATTACATGGGTGCGAAAACATTATCCATAGTAGAAAGAGAGGCTATTACATCATATGTAAGGGCAAACATATAGTAAGGTAAAACTCTAGGTGAAATTGTAAGTTATGATCTACAAGATATATATATTCTACATATATTGCAACCAACATTACAGGGACAAATGAGAGAAATACTAATGGGCTAACAGCTGGAACACAACTTAATGGGATTGGAACTGGTATCTGATAGACATAGAAATACTCATAGTAATGGCAGGAGGATGTAGTGTTGAATTTTTTTTTGTAACTATAGGCAGCCTAACCTATTAACATTGACTGTTCATAAGTTTCTTTTCCTTTTTTCAATCTTTTTTTGATATCGTTTCGGTTGGAGAGGGTAACGGGGACTTGTGAAGACTTTGGTTCGCCTAGCCCTCGGTAGTAAAAAATAAAAGTGGTCAATAGCTTGTTCACAAATGTATGGATTCTGCCGGAATTTTTCATCTTTTACATGTTGATCAATAAGATAGGAGATAATTTTTCCTAGGTTTTTTCTTGTCAAAATCTGGCGGATCTCTTCGGCGGCTCCTTCATCCGGGAATAATTCTTCCAAAAATTCACTATCCGTCCCACGACAATCAATGCTAAGGAATTGTATCCCCTTTTTCTCCATGAACAGACCATAAAATAAGTTCCCTTGATTGTGTTTTATGATGGTAACCATTTAAACCAGAAACTAAAGAAGAAATTATGAAACAACATCAGTCAATTAAGGCAATGGACAAACATAGAACATATAGTTAATTTTAAAACACAAATTAAAGTAAACAATGAATGGAGGGATGAAAATTAGAACACATCTTCAGATTATAATTATATCATAGAAGAAAGCAGAACGTAATTGTTGTAAACAAAGACTGTGAAAAACGTAAAGCTACAATTATAACAAGATATATAATGGGGTAAACAAAACAAAGGGACTTACAAGTTGAATTAGCGAGCGAGATATTTCGGGTACGACTTATGGGCGCAAATATATGGATGAAATTGTAATGCCGGGGAAGATCTGTGAACCAAAGAGATTGTGAAAAAAATGATAAATAGGAGAATACTCATTGAAAAACATAAGGATTTGGTGTAGTAGAAATCAGATTGTATACCTGTTGCTTTAGTAGAGAAGGGAAGAAACTGTGAGGAAATTGCCATAAGGTTCTGCTTTTAAAGACAACAAATCAAGGGATGCAACTGTTGGGAATATGATCGTTAATATGTGAAAGAGAAGGTGTCTGTCGCCAAGCCTCTCTTGAGTTTTGTAAGAGAAGGTGTCTGTCTCCAGGCGACTGTTCAATTCAGTCGTGAAGTTAATCCGAGGGTTTTTGTTATTTTTTAAAAAGCGTATTTCTAAGAAAAGGGCAATTTCGTAGTAATTTATTAAGTAAAGGGTAAAATAGTAATCTGACTTTTCATTAAAGGATTTCCTATTTTTAATATATTGTAGATATATATAGATTTATACCATTTCAGGAACCAACGACCTTTCTACTACGGACAAGTTCTTTTAAACATAAGAAAAGTTAAAAATGGGAATTGTGTTAAAAATATTAAAAATTTTGACTATCAGAAAGTAAAAGTTCCACATATATTACATAGAGAGCTCAATTTCGTATAACTCAAAAAGTTAGGTCAGACTTTTTCCTTTCTCTCTCCGATCCACTTTCATTAATTTTTTTGCTTGTTTTCACACATGCTAAAAATTCTAATTTTTAGCATTAATTAATAATGAAATTGACCATATTAACCTTAATTTGTTCATTGGGAATACAACAAATACTCCTAGGCTCTTTACTCCAATGGCAACTTTAAAAAAAAGAAATCAATTCAAAAATATCAAATATTATGGACCATAAAAAAAGACCAAAAATTAATTAAGGTGAACCGGAGGGAGTAAGATTTAATACAACCTTTATCTATTTATTTTCCAAAAGTACAAAGTAATGTCCATTTCTTCAAAACTTGCATGGAACTTCTAAATATTCTTGGGACAACATTATCTTATCATAAGTCCAGTAAAGAAAGGATTGGATGCCAAATTAAACAAACTTATATAATAAAGCAGAGATTCGAGTCAGAAAACAGAGAGTAAATGATTTCTGTCCTGGCTGAATAAACAAAGGTAATAAAACAATAAAACAACTCCTAAACTTCCTTTCTTTTTGAAAAAACACAGTTAACAAAAGAAAAAGGAATAAAGGAAAGTGTTCGTCTGGATTTTAAATAATCAGAGCAAATCAAAATAATGTGATAACAAAAGTAAAATAGATTCTCACCATAGCAAAGGCTTAATTATATTCATTACTACTTCTCAAGAACAAGCTGAGTTTGAAAAGCTGAATTTTGGCAACAAAAGTAAAGAAGATTAACTAGGGATGTTCCTCCAACAAGTATTAATCAACTCATATTTTTAACTCTTCTAGAAGAATTAATGAGTTTGTGTAATAAGACATCAAAATACATTCGATCATCATTTTCCTAAAGACCTACTCCCTCCGGATCACAATAAGTGTCAAATTTACTTTTAGCACGCCCATTAAGGAAATACTAAATTCTATACAAAAATACCTACTATGACTAAACTACCCCTAATTAAATATTTAATGTGAGGAGTAAGAAAACTTTTTAGGGATATGTACATAGGGGTTATTTTGTAAAAACAAATTGAATTCTTTCTTGATTACATAATTGGACACTTATTTTGAACCAAAATGAAAAAGTAAATTGGACGCTTATTGTGAACCGAAGGGAGTATTAATAAATACGTTTAAAATTGACCACTAAACCAATACGTTGTTTCTTGATTTTCTTTAAGCTTTAGAGTCAGTAATACACATTTCCGAGTAATAAATAAATTGCAAATGTTTCAACGTTGGTAAGCGATGAACGTGAGGAAAGTTCTAACAAGTAAAACTTACCAATCAATCATTTTATAAATTTTAAGAGTTGTACAAACAGAAACCGTTACTTGATATTTGGTAGTAGGCAGACGTGGAGCTAGATTTGAAGTTAGTGAGTTTTATACTTGACACTGAACCCATGCCATGTTTTATTTATTGAGTTCGTAATTACATATTAATATAAATTTAATAGGAGGTTCCATCGAACCCGTAAAGAATATCCTAACTTCGCCCCCGATAGTGGGAGCTCCGCAAAAAGAAAGAAAAAGAAAAAGCAACGAGATGGAAATTGGGAAAGTGAAGGTCAATAACGTGGTGAATGCTCTTTGGCACATTGCGTCTGTATTGGATTATAATAGTCCAATCAAGCAAAGGTTAACTTTATTGCGACTTTATGGTATTTTTATCCAAATGCATGAGATTGGTCTAAATAAAATTAATATCGTGTTGGCCACTTACGCAAAAGTGCAAAGCAGTTAAAACTGCGCACACCAATAATTCGTAAGTGGCTTTTTATATTAATCATCGAGAATGCAAGGCAAAAGTGCCATAACCTAGTAACTCATAGTCCACTTTCTACAGTTCTTGATTTCTTCCGCATTCTTTTTTTTTTTTTTTTTGGGTTACCTATTTTTTCTTCTTCTTTTAGATGGCTTTCATCATTTGAGTCGAGAGTCTATCGGAAATAATTTGTTTACCTTTACAACGTAGGGGTAAAGCCCACGTACATAGTACCTCCCCAAACTCCACTTGTGAAATCGCACTGGAATGTTTTTGTTGTTGTTGTTGTTGACTTTTCATTGGGTTTTTTTCATCACTTCAAATTCGATTTAGTAAGGGATAGAGGATTTCTTGCTTGTAAATGTGAAGCAGACGGGGTTTAAACGCGTGCTTTATGATATACTTTCACATGAGACTTTACTTCATGGTTGTTGATTGTCAACCGTTTTTTCAAAATAAAATTTACTATAATAATGGTGTGCAAATGTAACATTGCAAAATTTACTATGCTAAAGTAGATAATATTTACTCGAGGTTGGATAAAGACATCAAATGATTTTGAGGGGAGTTTTTTCGTTGCTTAGTCTGTACTTGTTGGGAGTGTGTGAATAAAGTCCCACATGGAAAATAAAAAAAGAAAAATAAGCTAATTATAAGGATTGGATACTTTTAATGGTGTGAGGTCTTTTGGGGAAAATCGTGCGGGCTTGGTCCAAAGCAGAGAGTATCTTTGGGCCATTTTAACCCAACAACTAGTATTAGAGCCTTTGGTTTCAAAGACGCATACACAACCTCTC